ACAAGTCTTGTGGGATTTGTTTAGTAGAAACTAAATTATTAATGAATTTGTGGAACGTGCGGTTGATTCGATCTGTAGGATCGCTATTGATAGGACTGTAAACGTTAGTGTCATTAACTAGACTAGTGATTTGTTCTAAGTAGTTAGTTTTGTCGAGAATTACTGTGACATTTCCTTTATCTGCTCTGGTTACTAAAATATTCGGATTATCTTTGAGAAAGTTTTTACAAAGTTTTATGTCTCTTAAAATATCTTTATAATCAACAATTTTTTTGGAGTTAAAGGACTTGATATAGGAGAGAAAATTTTTGCAGAAATGGGAACGAATGTTAGATTTTACTTCAGGATTTTTGATATTATGAAGGCCAGCTTCTAGTCTGCTTAAAACTTTAATAAAATTTAAATTGTAACAATTATTGGGGATAGCAAAGTTGGGACCTAGTGCAAAAATGTAAAGTAATCTATCTGGAATTGTGACGCTGGAAAGATTTTTTAGCCATTTGTTAATTAGTGTACTATTTAAAACTATTTTTGAACGGTTGCGTTTAGCCTGCAATAATTTATCGAATTTAATTTTATAAGAATTTTTTAATTTATTGAAAAATTTGTTGTTACGAGTCGATTCGTATTCAGAAAAGCTTTGCAGAATCTCCGCTTCGACAGTATGAGTGAGCCAAGCGTACGTTTTATCAATAGCTAGTTTCAAATTATTGACATTGCAGACACAATTCTTGATTTCAATGGATAACATATGGAGGCTTAATGATGAAAATTTGTTTTTTAGCGAACTATGTAAGTGCGAAAATTTGTCTGTATTGAATTGATAGAACTTAGGAATTATACTTTCTTTTCTGCATCTTATTAAGAAAATCTGTTTGTTAATGTTAGTTATTAATTTCGTATTCAGTTTGGTAATGTGTTTTAATTGTGAAAAAATGTAAAAACCGTAATGCTTTTTGATAAACGAGTAAAACGAATTATTTAGGGGGTAATTGTTTTGAGAATAATCAGTTCGTTTGAAGAACGCGCGGTTGAAAGTCGTTTGATTCATGATGTAAATAAATAAAAGAAACGGTAAATTAAAGTAAAAGTAAAAATGTAAAAAGGAAAACTAAATAAGGGAATTTAAAATGACAAGAATAGTGTACAAAATTATTATGAGAGTTATTACAATTTACTAAGAAACTTAGCTAAATATATAAAAAAAAGAATTATTATACATGTAATACAACAAAAATAATTAAATAGAACATTGGTAATTAAACTAAAATTAATATTAATAAAATCTTGATGGAGTGCGTAGTAATGAGTTGGAGCGTGGTTGCTCCGATGCGCGGGTGACGACTGAATGTACGTCGCACAGAAATGTACGGCGTGATGTACTTTACAAATTCATAAAAAACTCAGTCAAAAATTTATATATTGTTCAACTTGAAATGACAAGGATTGGTTTTTTAGTGCATTGTAAACATTTATAATATGAAATAATTAGGATTGTGCATTGTGAACATTTATAATATGAAATAATTAGGATTAATTCAATTACATGTAAGTTCATACCATATCACTTCTTATATATTAGTTTTATTTAATAATTTCTATCTGTTCTTTCAATCTAGAGTCCACTAAAGATGACACAAAACAATGTGTCGAAACGTATGGAAAAAATAAAAACGTTTTAAAGTCATACAAATTTTTTAATTGATGTATTGCCCTGAAAACTGAATATCATATATATATATATATATATATATATATATATATATATATATATATATATATATATTTCACTTAATATATTTTTTACCGCTTATAAATTCTTTTCAGTCTCATTGCAGCAAGATGACATTCATGTAGATATTTATTTATTGCATTTTATTATCATTTCTAATTGCATTTCTGAATATATTATAATTTACTGATGGTGATTGTATTCTATTCCATTATATTATCATTAAAACCTTTCATATATTATAATTTATTAATCACTGATGATTGTAATTTATTAATACACCACTTTTACTTATTGTAGTAACAAATTAAAATTCAATACAAGTTGTTATGACAAGTTATGTGTGTTTTGTATTTAAACCTGTAGTCATGTGTGTTTTTTCTATATTTATTGATTTGATTTGATTCCAGCATATATCATAATATATACTCTTGATTGAAATATTCTTATTATTACTATAATATCTTTTTAATTTATAATTATATTTTCACAAATTTTAATACAATTGCGATGCAAAATTAAAATTCTAACAAATTATTTTTAATTTTTTTTTTTTTTATTGATAGTACAATATTCTTAAAGTACAAATATTTTTATTTCAAATTTTAGCGCTTCAATATGAATGGCGATTGAAGCGCCATTGCGGTATAGCGGCCGTAGCAATAACTAATTTTTTTGAACCTAAATATCGCGAGAATGAAACGTCAATATTATTATATTGTCTAGGGTCGGAACGCAACGAGATGCTGATCGCCGTGCGATTTGCGTTCGGAAAACTCCGTGGGCCATCGTTATTAGCGGCAAACGATTTACGCCCAGAGAGACAGATAAGCCGCCGTGTTTGCCTATGTGACAGAAAGAGTCAGGTGTCGTACCTGATTGATACGGGGTCCGACGTTTCAGCGTTTCCGCGCTCATTATTATGCAAACCAAATAGGAAGAGGATTGCATACCAGCTAGCCGCAGCAAATAACACGACGATTGCAACCTATGGTACGGTGGTTGACCTTGGGCTACGTCGCGACCTGTCATGGAACTTCATTATAGCAGACGTTACGCAACCAATAATTGGTGTAGGTTTTCTCTCTTACTACAGTTTGATTGCGGATGTGAAAAATCGTCAAATAACGGATGCTATGACAGGAACGGCGCAGGCGGATATTGCAGCGGAATCAATAGCGACTATAAAGGTGGTAACGGGTTCAACGGCGTACCATAAGTTGCTTGAAAAGTTTCCTGGTTTAACACGACCAGACGGCGCTGTTAGGTTACGCAAGCACGCGACGCAGCACCATATACAAACTAGTCCTGGACCGTCGGTGGTTCAAAAACCGCAGAGATTAGCTCCGGACAGACTCCTTGCTGCTAGAAAGGAGCTAGAAGCTATGCTGAAATTAGAAACGGCTCGTCCATCGAAAAGTTGTTGGGCTGCCCCGCTACACATGGTTCCAAAAGGGTGTGATGAGTGGCGTCCATGTGGCGATTATAGAGGTTTGAATGCGCGAACGAAGCCCGATAAATATCCGGTACGTCATATTCATGATTTCGCCCAAGCCTTGGACGAGAAAACTATATTCTCGACGATAGACTTGGTGAAAGCGTTTAACCAAATTCCGGTGGCGGAAGAAGATATTGTGAAAACCGCTATTACAACGCCGTTTGGACTATATGAATTTCCGTACATGACGTTTGGATTGCGTAACGCCGCGCAAACATTCCAGAGATTTATCGATGAGGTGTTGCAAGGGTTAGATTTTAGTTACGCCTACATCGATGATATTATTGTAGCTTCGTCGTCCGAGAAAGAACATATGCGCACCTAGAGATACTGTTTGGTAAACTTCTGGAATTTGGAGTGGTAATAAATCCAGCTAAATGTGTGTTCGGCCAAACAAGTGTAAAGTTTTTGGGATATGAGGTTTCGGCTGAGGGTACTCGCCCTTTGCCAGAGAAGGTAGAAGCTATTAGGACATTCACAAAGCCAGCGACAATGCAAGAGCTGAGGCGGTTTTTGGGCAAGCTAAACTTGTATAGGAGGTTCATACCAAATGCCGCTCAAATTCAAGCACCGTTAAATGAGTTTCTGCGTGGAGATCCGAAGAGCAAAACTCCGGTAGAGTGGACAGCGCATACGTCAGCTGCTTTTGAGGCGTGTAAGGAGAGTCTGGCTCAAGCACGCCTACTATCCCACCCACACGCTAATGCTAAACCCTTGGCATTCTTTTCGCAAAAACTGAGCACAACGGAACGAAAATACGCAACTTACGATCGTGAACTACTTGCAGTGTATGAAGCGGTGAAATACTTTCGTCACATGGTTGAGGCAAGAACTTTTACAATTTTTACTGACCATAAACCAATAGTGTTCGCGTTTGTCAAGAAGGATAGTCAGTCGTCGTCAATTCCGATATTTGGACTTTATCGCCCAATTTTCGACCGATATCCGTCATATGTCAGGAGAGAAAAATGTTGTCGCCTACGCATTATCGCGGGAGGAGTCTCTAAGAAGTGCCGGAACAGATATGAAGTTATTAGCAGCAGAGCAGAGATTAGATGAAGAAGTAGCTAAGTTGCGCACCGAAAACAACACGTCACTCAAACTGAAACTTATTCGATTTGAGGACCAAGACGTGTCAGTTTTGTGCGACATCTCTACGAGAACAGCTAGACCGTATATTCCAACAAAGTTACGGCGGGCGGTGTTTGATAGCTTACACGGATTGTCACACCCTGGTATGAATGCTACGACCAAACTAGTTACAGAGAGATATGTGTGGCCGTACATCAAACGGGATTGCCGCGAGTGGGCTGGATGTTGCGTCGCATGTCAGCGGACAAAAGTCTGTAGGCACGTGCAGGCGCCAACGGGACAATTTGAACTTTCATCGAGTAGATTTGAGTGCATATTGATATAGTGATAATACCATTGTCAGAAGGATATCGGTATTGCCTGACATGCGTCGACAGATTTTTTAGATGGCCGGAAGCAATTCCAATTAGAAATCAAGAAGCCTCCACCGTAGCGCGAGCCTTCTATTCTAATTGGATTGCAAGATTTGGTATACCGCTGCGGCTAACGTCAGACCACGGAAGGCAGCTTGAGTCACGGATATTCAGTCAACTAAATCAGCTGCTTGGAACGAGTCATTACAAGACTACGGCATACCATCCCAAAGCCAATGGGATGGTTGAAAGATTCCACCGCTAGCTCAAAGCAGCTATTAGATGCCATAGCAGTAAAAGATGGACAGAAATATTACCGACGGTTATGTTAGGAATTTGTGCAGCATGGAAAGGGGATCTACAAGCAACTGTTGCGGAAATGGTATATGGCGAAGCCTTGCGATTGCCTGGACCAATGCTACACGTAACACCGACGAGTTATTACGGCGAAAGGAACTTTATGAATGACCTGCGTAACCACATGCAAAAGATATGCCCCACCAATGGAACGCGACATGGCCAGAAGATAACGTTTGTCTTGAAGATAACGTTAAGATTTAATGACTGCGGAGAGCGTTTTCATTCGATGGCCCAAAGAGACTTCTGCAGAATCCATATGAGGGTCCTTTTGAGGTGAAACCCAGATCTGCAGAGACTTTTGTGGTGTGTATGCATGGCAAAAATGTCACCATATCTATCGACCGTATGAAACCAGCATGCACACTAGCGCCAGAAGAAAATGCTGAATCCGTTCCGTCGCAGTCTAATGAGATTCCGCAAACAATCCGGCTGGAATCTGATAACAACAGCAGATCTCAGCCGTTGAGCCCGACAGAGCCTGAGCCAATTGCACAACCAAACTCTTCAACGAGACGAGGACGCCGAGTTCGGTTTCCGGATTTTTCGCAGGCCGGATTTTTGTGAACTTCGTCACTAGAGGGGGAGTACTGTAAGCGTATGGCAACGTCGCTATGTTAAGGGTCGTGCCGGATGGTGCGTACGGATGGTAGAACAGGCAGTCATGAACATGAAAAAAATATAACTGAAAACCTTGTAACTATCAGAAACCTAATCATATATTGTAATAATAATAACAAATGAAAGTGCTGCCTTAATAAATATAGATTTTCAAAAGGCCTTTGATATGTTATCGCATGAATATTCATTTAAAGTTTTAGAGAAAATTTCAGTACCAGAAAAATTTAACAAATGTATAAAAACTTATATAAGAATGCATCGTCAAAAATATTAATAAATGATTATTTATCTAATGAAATCAAAATTGGTAGGTCAGTAAGACAAGGATGTCCTCTCTCGATGATTTTGTTTGTGATCGCCTTAGATCCATTGCTTGTGGATTTATCGAGGGAATTAAAAGGATTACAAATAATGCAAAAAAAGATTAAAGTTTTAGCACACGCAGACGACGTATCCATATTAGTTAAAAATAATGAAGAAGAATTAATAGCAATAAATATAATTGAAAAATTTTGCAGTATTTCGGGTTCCATGATTAATAAACAAAAATCAACTTTCCGTTTAATTGGTAACAAAAGAGACAGAGAAAGCAATAATTTAAAAGAAATGATTAATGAAAACTGGGAAATAATAATAAATAAAATAAGGATAACTTTGAACATAAAATTGTCAAGGAGATTAAATTTGATTCAAAAAGTTTGGCATGTAAATTATTATGTGCTTTCAAAATTATGGTATATACCCCAAGCGCTTACTGTGAGAACCTTAGATGCACAAAAAGTAGATTAATAGGTTACTACTTGTGAAATAATTATAAAATAAGAATAAATAGAAAACAATTAAGATTAAATGATTCAAAAGGAGGTCTGAGTTTAATAGATACTGAAGAAAAAAGTGAAGAGTTAATGTTAAGACAAATAGTAAAATGCTATAAAACTAATAATATTAATAGTGAATTTATCAAATTATGGTCACAACAAAACAATTCACCACATGCTATTGAAAAAAGATTGGAAGTAATAGCCAACAACCCAGAATGGTTTGATAGAGAAATAACGACAAAACAAATTTATAATACATTAATTACAGAACATATTCCTAAAATAATTAAAGACAGATCCGAGTTCAATTGGGAAAATATTTGGAAAAATGTAAGGAATAAAAATATTTCAACGGAATGGCAAAGTTCGAATTATAAAATTGTTGATGAATGCGCTAAATTGAAAAATGAGTTATATAAAATTGTCTGATTCGGTAATGTGTTTAAAATGTATGAAGAAAGATAATATTAACTACTACTTAACTGAATGTGGACAAAAAATTAAGGTATGCGATTGGTTAAGAAAGAAATTGGAAAAAATCAGCAAGAAATGATAGAAGACAATAACAAATTATTAAAATTTGATATTAAAAATAGACCAAACGATATACTTAATACTTTTGTTTGGCGCCTATCTGGCGTTCTAAACAATTTGTTAGAAGGAATAGAAAAAGTCACAATAATTGAAAAGAACTTAAGGTTGAAAAGACAAGAAGAAATTAAAAGGAAGAATGAACATTTTGGTTATTATTTATATAATATATTGTAAATTCTATGCAATGTAATGTAAAATTATAAATGTATATTTGAATAAATAAAGAAGTTAAAAAAAAAACGTTATGTATACCGATAGATATTATACTAGTATTCCTTTAGCAGAGGATTTGGTAAAGATGAAATTGCATCTCATTTATCGAGATTCGTAAAACAAAATTTTCAGAGGAAAAATAAACTATAGCTTATAGAAAAAAAATATTACACGTCTTGCGTGGAAGGACAAAAGAACTATCACAATTATAATTGCGGAGCAATTATACACATACGGAAATGCAATCAACATACAGAAAGTTAGGTGGTGGAAATATTATATCCATTGATAAGCCATTGATTATAATATTGTAATTTAATCTATAAGTTTTTGGTCTTCGATAATTGTGATAAAAAGTTTTTAATAAAAAGAACTATTTTTAGATTTTACTACTATTTTTTGGACATTTATTTGGGGAATTATTTTTTCTTTGTGAAAGTCACTGGAGAATCAATTGAAATCTCGTCTACAACTTCTCATGCTATTTGTTCATTGCAAAGTGTTTTGTCAGTACGTAGATATAAATTTAGATCAAAAGTTGTTTAGATAAATTAATTTAGTGAAATAACTGTTTTAGAATAGATATTATTAGTTCAGTGCGAAGTTATTTCTCAACACGTAGATACAATTTTAGAGTAAAGTTTGATAAATTTGTGCTTGTGTAAAACTATAAATTGACTAAATAATTATTTGAGAATAGAAATTCAGTGCGGAGTTTCTTCAATAAGTAGATACAAATTTAGAAAGGTTGTTGAATTTGCAAAATTTTGACTTTAAAACAATCGTTTTTGAATCATAAGTATGAATTCAGAAACCAATACCCTAGTAGAAACGAATATGAGCTGAATATGTTTTTTATGTAAGCTAAATATTGTTTTCTAATATTGAGCTAATATGATTTTGTTAACATTCGGTCATATTCCGCTCAGATTCGTAATGAGGGACGAATGCGGGAATATGATATTTAGCTTATATGATTTGCTTAACATTTCTCCATATTACGCCCGCATTCCGAATATGAGGAGAATAGGTAAAAATAATATTTATACCATATTGAAAAACATATATAAACCATATTCAAAATTATTGATCCTTCATTCTGAAATATTAAATATATATTCATTTAAAAGAAAAAATAATATTATTTAATTAGTATTGGACAAACAGCATTAATAAAAAAAATTATTATATAGTATTTACAATATAACTTACATACACACAAACGCCATTTTGAGGTTAATGCATGTAAATACTTACATTGCATGCATATATAGAATTTATATTATTATAGTACGAAGGCATTATATTGACATTATACTCTACACTATACTACAATATTAATATTATATATCTAAATAAAACATCCTAATTAGTTCAAAACATGTGAATTGTGAAAAATATTTTTTGATATTTCAATTATAAGTAAATAACTCTGACGCGTAGAATTTGGCGCCATAATTCATCATAGAGAGTGCATTCTATGCCATCTACAGCGCTTTGGATGCAATGCGTGTCTACGATGCAATGGCTTAGGTAATTCTTTCCCGCGTTCTCGTATTGTGCATTGTGTTTTGTGTCTAGAAAATTCCGCGTGTTCGTATTGTGTTTCATAGTTTTTCATAGTTTTTTACAGTTTGTGTATAACAATTTTTATTAAAATGGAGGTAAGTTGTTAAATTGAAATAAGTATAATTATAAACAAATATTCAGTTAAGTATCATTAACATTTGTAGGCAGCCGACATGGGATGTTGTAATTTACGATAAGGAAGATAAATGTGGGCACATACCTTCTTCGTGGGCTCTACCAATGCCCAGAAAACCAAATATTTGTGGCCCACAGATATTTCTGCTTTGAAGGTACAAAAAATGATTAAGAAGTGTATGACCCTTCCTGATACTGTCAAGTATAAAATTGTCACAGGAAGATGTTTAGCTACGTCTTCTAATTATAAACAGATACAAGTGTATGAAGCGAGGGCTGAATTCATATCATGTGTTGATGGTGAACAGGAGAAGGTAGTGGACGAAGAAACGGAGGATATCCCCAATATAGAGCAACTACAAGGTACATTATATATTTAATATCTTCATAACATATCATTCAACAAACATTCATGTTAATATTTATTGCAGAAATTATGTGTGAAATTGACCAAGGAGAAATAGAGAGTCCCAATATGGAGATGGGTACATTATTTAAAATTATATATTTAAATTATTTATTAAAATCTTTTAAATTCCAATAAACAAATTCTAGTTGCAGAGAACAAGTTAGATACCATAATGAATGCTCTATCAAAATTAACTTACAAAGTTAATAAAATGAAGCAAGATATGAGGGAGCTTTTATCGTATAAGAGGGCTTCTGAAGCATCAAAGCTGGATGCTCCAGAACAAACACTTTTAAACTTCCCATAACCTCAGATTTTGAGATGCTTGAGATAGAAGCGAAGCTTGTAGATAAGCAAGCATTGAGAGATTTGGTAAACTAAAAAAAAATTAAAAATGAAGTTGAATTTTCAGTTGAATTGACAAATTTTTATTTGCAGGCGTTACAATTGTCACTAGTTGGTGGTGAGACAATAAAGCAAGTGGTGACACTTATTTTAAAAAAAGCACTCTCGAGAGTAAGGGCAGGAAAGGGAAGAGAAATTTTTCTTCACTGCTACTATACAGTTGTGCATTAGGTATGTACATGCATATACAAATAGTATGTGCATATGTAAATAATCTCATATGAATATTTAAACATATTTACAAACCAAAACACTAAGGTTCTAAATTTTATGCATATATATATATTTAGACATTATACATGTATATTCATATTTATATTTTGGCATAGATGCAGTGCGTTTAAAATTCCATGCAGCTACAGACTTAATAATTACACAACACATAAGCTCCTCTCTAGCCTCATCAAGAGACTGGAATGGAGGAAAAAGAGAAAGAATGGCTGCAAAAGACGAAGCTATAAATTTTTTTTAACAATTAGTTTGATTTTCATTCTCTAAAATGACATACTGTTTTTTATATTCATATTTTATACATACTATATGTTGATAGTTGATATAGATATAGATATAGGATAGATATAGATATATACATATATATATTATATTTTATATATAATATATATTGATGATTTTTTGTTATATATATATATATA